AGCCCACCAGCTCCAAGGACTCCGGCCCACCACCAAACTCCAGCGCCACATCCCTGCTCCCCACCAAGTACGTCAAGCACCGGTCCAACTCCTTCCAGTGCTGATCACTCCGCACAGTCTGGCCCGACCCCAGCTTGCTGCAGGCAAACGAGATGTCGGGACGGGTGGTACAGGCCGCAAACTGCAAGGATCCCACCTTCCGCCTGTACTCCTCCTCCTGGCGAGACTGCCATCCCACATCCTCAAAGGTCTGCACACTGAAAGGGTCAGAGGAAAGAGGGGTGCGAGGCACTCGCAGCGGCTGCTCCCCGTCAAAGAAGCGCCTATGAACCTTGTCCACATAGGCCCCCTGGTGCAGCCACAGCCTCCTCGTAGGCCTGTCCCGAATCAGCTGCAACCCCAGATACTTCTCCACAGGGCTAATCTCCCGCAGCTGAAACGCACTCTGCAGCAGCTCACGCAGCTCCCCAAGCATGCTCTGACTGCGGCTGGCAGCAAGCAGGTCATCCACATACACCAGCAGCCAGCACATCTCCCCATCAGCATCAGTTTTGAAGTACAGAGCCTCATCCACCTTGCTCTTCTTCCATCCAGCCCCAAGCAGCACCCCATCCAAGGCCTCATACCATAGCATCGGGCTCTGCTTGAGCCCATACAGACTTTTCACCAACTTACAGACACGAGGAGTCCCATCCTCGTAGTAGCTCGGCTGCTCCATATAAAGGTCTCGGTCCAACACGCCATGGAGGAACGCATTCTTTACATCGAGCTGCATCAGGTCCAAATCAAGTGCAGCTGCAATCGCCAGAAGCACACGCGCCGTCACATAGCTTCCCACAGGGGCGTACGTCTCCTCATAGTCCACCCCTGCCACCTGCGTGAACCCCTTCACCACCAGCCTCGCCTTCTCACGCTCCACTATCCCATCAGGTCGGAACTTGGTGTTCAAAATCCATCGGTTCTTCATCACATTCACCCCTGGCGGACGCGGAACCAACTCCCACGTCCCCTGCTCAATCAAGCTCCGCATCTCTTCATCCATCGCCTCCTTCACCTTGTCGCCCTTCCAGCAGCCCAAGGCCTCCTTCACTGTCATTTTCGCTATGTCCCACTGCCTCTCAGGATCAGCTGCAACGTCCGGGTCCAGGTCAGTCCACTCCTCGTCCTCCTCCTCGTCATCCAAGCCCGCTGGCTCAACCACTACAGCCCAAGCGTATCGAACAGGCGGGACACCACGAGTGATGCGAGTGGAGCGACGCACTGGTGCAGTGGTCGTCCCAGAAACCAACACACGACCACCATCTCTAATTCCCCACATCTCCTGCTCCCCTGTCTGCGGCTCCCCTGTCTGCTGCTCCCCTAGCTGCTGGTCCACCATCTGCTGCTCCTCAATCCGCTCCTCCCCTGTCTGCTGCTCCCCAATCTGCTGCTCCCCTGTCTGCTGTACTCCATCCATACTGCTCTCGTCCTGCAGCTGCTCAGTCTCAAGGCGCTGCCCGTCGGTGATCTCCACAGACGGTGGCACCTCCATCCCCCCCCCACCAACGGGCGGCGCCGTGGAAGACAAAGAGGAGGGCGGAGCAGGTGCAGGAGGGATGGAGGGTGAAAGGGGGGATGGAATAACAGGAGGAGGAGGGGAAGGCAAGGGGGGTGAGGAGGAAGAAGGCGGGACAGGGGGAATCACACGAGGGTAGACTGAAGGCGGAGGTGGGGTGGGGACCGAGGTAGGGACATAGGGCATAGCAGGAGGTGCGACCACCTCCTCCTCCTCCTCCGCCTCCTCGAGAGTGATCGGGAAGAGTGAGGGAAGGGGCTCATAGGGCATCGAGCGCCCCCCATGCTCCTGCTGATGCCAAGCTTTCCATCCTGCTAGGGACATGGTCTCATAGAACACAGTTTCCACAGTGGTGATGAGGCGGTTGGACTCCAAGTCCAGCACGGTCCAGCCTTTGCTCGCAGCTGACACACCCAAGTGCAACCCCCAGCGAGCCTTAGGCGCCAGCTTCCCCCCACGCTGCGACCGTGGTACCATGTACTGCAGCATGCAGCCCCAAACACGCACCATACTGACATCAGGTTTGCGTCGGAAGGCGAGCTCGTACGGCGTCACACCAGAGGGTAGTGAGGCGTGCTCCACGCGGTTGCGCACCCAGACGGCCTGAGCCAACGCCAGGTGCCACCAGTGATGCTGCACACCCATGTGCAGCAACATCGTCCGCACCGCCTCCACAATGCTGCGCATCTCCCTCTCGGCCATCCCGTTCTGCTCCGGCGTGTACGGGCATGTGAGGTCATGGATGATGCCTTTACCGTCGAGGAAGAGCGTGAAGTCGTGCCCCAGGAACTCGCCACCCCGATCAGTGCGCAGGGCCTGCACCGTGGTCTTGCACTGTCGCTCTGCCATCGGGAGCCACTTCTGGAACGCCGCCAGCGCATCACTCTTCCGGGCCAAAGGGTAGGCCCAGACATATCGCGTCTTTCGATCCTTCAGCACCAAGAAGTAGCGGCTGCCGTCCTTAGCTGCTTCACGGAAAGGGCCACACAGGTCAGCATGCACCACCCCGAGCAACTCATCCTCCTCCTCTCCCACAGAAGGAAAGGTATGACGAGTGATCTTTCCCCCAACACAGGAAACACAAGGTATGCCTGACTTGCCCCCCTTCTCCAAATCCAAGCCCTTTACTGACCCGTGAGCCGCTGTGCGCTCGATGGCATCAATACCAACGTGTGCCATACGCGCATGCCACAGGTCCCCCTTAGACCGCACGCCCGTCGCCAAGGTACGGAGTGCCACCGTTTCGCCTTCCTGCTGCTGCGTCGAACACGGCTGGAAGTTCGTGCAGAGAACACGCCCCTTGAACTCCGCACGACCAAGAAGCGATCCATCTGGTGCTCGCAGCAAAGTCACATCCCCGGCATCCAGCAGCTGCACACCACATTCACGCAGCTGCCCAGCAGAGAGAAGACTCGCCTGCACTCCTGGTACGTACAGCACGTCCGGCACCAAGACACGCCTGCCCCCCTCTCCAAGAAGAGCGACTGTGCCCCGCCCCTGCACCTCCTGAAGCGCGCCGTTGAAGCCAGTAACCTGTTTAATACTGCCGCCGCTGCTCATCTCCACAAAGGCAAAACGATCTCCCATGAGATGGTGGGAGCATCCGCTATCAAGCAGCACGACGCTCGGGTTCGCCTTCACAGCAGCTGCAACAGCCTGTAAGGCCTCCCCGCCCTCAGGCTCTAGCACAACGAGAGGAGTCTGCTCCACAACGGGCTTCACCATCGCACATGATGATTGCCCGCTCCCCTTAGAGCCATCACCCCCCTTTCCGCTGCTACCTCCAGAACCCTCTCCACCGGTGTCTGCCTCCTTATCCGCCCGCTGCTGACAGTACTTAGCAACATGCCCTATTTGTCCACACACATAGCACTTCCCTTTGAAACCCCCTTTCCCCCCCTTCGGCTGGCCATCCTTACCCCCTTTCCACTTCTCCCCTCCCCCACTAAGCCCACCCCCATTCTTAGGTTGTTGCTGCTGTGCCGTAGTGGGAGGGGAAGGGAACGAATTCTGCTGGAATTGGGGCTTACCCTTCTTGATAAAGACCTGGTTAGCCTGGGGAAGGAATTGGTCCTTTCGTCCCTCTGACGCCAGCGTACATTCCTCCTCGATGATGTAGCTAGCGAGGGTGTTCTCGTCCAACTCCTTGCGCACCTGCGGCAACTTCAGCATCCTGCGTAAGAGGTTGTACTGCTGCGGCAACCCCTTCACAACGTGAGTGATGTACGACGCCTGCGAGTAATCTACGCCGGCCATCCTCAGGTTCACTAGGATCTGCTGCGCACGGTTGCAATAGGACGTAGCGGACTCATGCTCTCCCATCTCGAGGTTAGTGAGCGCCTGCTCTAACTGACCGATGTACAGATCGTCCTTCGCCATGTACGTGCGCATAATAAACTGCCATGTCTGATAGCCGGCATCAACCTTCATGCGACACGCCTTAAGGGCGATCTGTACGGTTGGGGAGCAGCATCGGGAAATAGTGGTGAATGTCAGCAACTGCATCGCGCGGAACTGAGAGAGATGCGCAAGCGCACGCGCTGGTGGAATAGGGGTGGTGCCATCTATGAATCGCTTTAGCTGAGCGATCTCAAGCTGCGGCTCGATTGATTCTGTCCACGTCGACAGGTCGCGACGTCCTTCTAACGGACTAGTGACAACGATCTTGTCTGGAGTGAATCTGAAGTAGCCATAGTTGGGGGCTATTCCCTCGTCCCTCGACATCGATCCAATCGGGGTAACGCCCGGCATAGTCTCACTATCGAACTCTTCCGCAATTCCTCCCCCAGCAACGCTTCGCCGTCCTACATTCGCATGCTCTCGTGACGCTGCTGCACGATGAACACGCTCCTGTACACCGCCGACGCTAGCCGTACTAAACCGAGTTGGTCTTCGCAGGACCCCACGCGACATCAACCCATCAAACTCCTCGTCATCGCTATTTCCGCCATCGACAGCCATATCCCACGCACTAGTACCTCCCGCAACTTGCTCAACATTCTCTACACGTGGGGAAGGGTGCTCACGACGCCGACGCGAGCGCAATCCCTCCAACATTAGCTCGTATTCAATATCACTAATCTCACCACGAGAATGACGAGCCACGAGATCCTCCTCTAGAGTGCGCAAATTACCGGCCTCCACGTTCGCCTCCTCAGTACTCATCCTCTACGACGTCTCTATAAGGTACCACAAATTAAAATAAAGTGCCCCTTCCTTAAATCCCTCGTCTCGGGGTCACCTCACAAGGGTCCTCAGACGAGTGGTAATAAATTACCAAACGCCCTATCCTTGGGTCCGAGAACGTAACTGGAGGGAAATCAAGAGAGGTTCAACTTAGATTAATAAGCGCCCTTCACTAACGCCGCACGCCAAGGCGAGTATACGAACGCGAATATCAACGACGACGGAAATCTATGCGTGTTCGTTCCACGCTCACCGCACCATGAAGGAATCTATTAGAGAGCGTAGCGATAACGAGAGAGTTTCTGCTATGGGAATGATGTTGCGCCAGCAACTTGGTAGAGTTTCGGTAGCATTTGCCTCTAAGGACTTGGTGAGAATTGAAGTAGCATTTTGGACTTCACTAGGAACATAGAAAATATATATCAAACACACAAGCAACACAAACATATATAGGCAAGCGAGGGTTTCACAAGAGGTTGCGTGGGCGCTGCGAGTAACCCAACCCCACGAAAGTGGTGTGTGGGTGAGCGAACGCGCCTCGCCAATTTCCCAACCCAACTCAGCATCGACTTCTCGCTTCCGTGCACACCACTCCACCAACACAGCAAGGAGTGGTGCGACTCTCAAGGAAGCACCAACGACTCCCACGGACTCTCGCTTCTTCATGCGACCTCCATCGAACTCATTCGTCGGTGCCGAGTAGACTCAGTTGCTAGGCGTCGACCTGCCAAGTCAAAGGTCATCGAGGGCCCTTGCTGTTGTAGGGCCCTCTAACACTTCCCTGTCTGCTGCTCCCCTAGCTGCTGGTCCACCATCTGCTGCTCCTCAATCCGCTCCTCCCCTGTCTGCTGCTCCCCAATCTGCTGCTCCCCTGTCTGCTGTACTCCATCCATACTGCTCTCGTCCTGCAGCTGCTCAGTCTCAAGGCGCTGCCCGTCGGTGATCTCCACAGACGGTGGCACCTCCATCAGGCGTTGGCGGCGCCACTCACAACCCTGACGGGAGTGTGACTGTCGGTTCCACCAGAGTCTATCCGAACGGCACATACGTCACCAGCGACGGCCAGACATTCGTAAATCCACCCACCCCAAACCCAGATGGATCTGTAACGCTCGGCGGTACCAACTTTTATCCGAATGGGACAATCGTTGGCTCCGATGGGAAGGTGTACAACGCCGGTCAAGTGTCGCTCCCCTCGGTTGTCAACGGCAGTTCCGACGTCACTGCCAACCCTGACGGGAGTGTGACTATTGGCACCGCCAAGCTCTATCCGAACGGCACGTATGTCACCAGCAACGGCCAAGTAGTCAACCCACCTATTCCATCCACAAATCCGGACGGTTCTGTAACGATCGGCGGTACCAACTTTTATCCAAATGGGACAATCGTTGGCTTCGATGGGAAGGTGTACAACGCCGGTCAAGTGTCGCTCCCCTCGGTCCTCAACGGCAGTTCCGACGTCACTGCCAACCCTGACGGGAGTGTGACTATTGGCACCGCCAAGCTCTATCCGAACGGCACGTATGTCACCAGCAACGGCCAAGTAGTCAACCCACCTATTCCATCCACAAATCCGGACGGTTCTGTAACGATCGGCGGTACCAACTTTTATCCAAATGGGACAATCGTTGGCTCCGATGGGAAGGTGTACAACGCCGGTCAAGTGTCGCTCCCCTCGGTCGTCAACGGCAGTTCCGACGTCACTGCCAACCCTGACGGGAGTGTGACTATTGGCACCGCCAAGCTCTATCCGAACGGCACGTATGTCACCAGCAACGGCCAAGTAGTCAACCCACCTATTCCATCCACAAATCCGGACGGTTCTGTAACGATCGGCGGTACCAACTTTTATCCAAATGGGACAATCGTTGGCTCCGATGGGAAGGTGTACAACGCCGGTCAAGTGTCGCTCCCCTCGGTCGTCAACGGCAGTTCCGACGTCACTGCCAACCCTGACGGGAGTGTGACTATTGGCACCGCCAAGCTCTATCCGAACGGCACGTATGTCACCAGCAACGGCCAAGTAGTCAACCCACCTATTCCATCCACAAATCCGGACGGTTCTGTAACGATCGGCGGTACCAACTTTTATCCAAATGGGACAATCGTTGGCTCCGATGGGAAGGTGTACAACGCCGGTCAAGTGTCGCTCCCCTCGGTCGTCAACGGCAGTTCCGACGTCACTGCCAACCCTGACGGGAGTGTGACTATTGGCACCGCCAAGCTCTATCCGAACGGCACGTATGTCACCAGCAACGGCCAAGTAGTCAACCCACCTATTCCATCCACAAATCCGGACGGTTCTGTAACGATAGGTGGCTTGAGCTTCTTTCCCAATGGGACGGTAGTTGGCTCTGATGGGAAACCTGTTGATGCAGGCGGGATGCCGCCGATCCCTGGGGTCCAGATCCCCAGCCTTACTGCCAGTGTGAATCCTAACAGCACCATCACGCCAAGTCCACCCCCTCCACCCAAGCCTGCTGGTGAGAAGTCTTGCTGTTTGATTGTTTTTTTTCTTCTTATTTTTTTAGGTGCACCAGGCTCTAAGGCTAGGTTGGAGCTGCCGAGAATCGACTACTATCTCATTGTTTCTGTTTTCTCTTATGACAGGCTCGGACGGATTTTCTACCACGAATCCCGGCAGTGTGACAGTTGGCGAAACAACAATTTTGTCGAACGGCACATTTTTGGGGGGGAATGGGATGCCAATCACACCGACCTTAAACCCTGACGGATCAACGACAGCCGGCGATATCACCGTTCATCCTGACGGAACAATTACGTACTCAGATGGTACTGGACTTCCAATCTATTGGAACGGATGGCTTGCAGATTCTAGGCGTTACTGTGAACCCTGGCGGAACTGTCCAGGGGTTGTCACGCCACCCATGCCTCCTGGTATTCATCGTCATTACGAGGGTTGCTACACAAAATGGACGCAATTGGTCGACGCGATTATATTCTACACTTGCTCTGGCTAACCCCTCCCCCATCTCCTTCTACCTTGTCCCCCCCCCCCCCCTCCTCCTTCCTCCCCCCTCCCCCTTCCCCTCCTCTCCCTTCCCCTTTCCCCCCTTTCCCTCCCCCCCCCCCCGCATTTTCCCCCTTCCCCAAACCCCCTTTCTGCAAACAGCAGGTTTGCTTGTATCACCTGCCATAGCAGCTACTGGCCTGTCCCTGTTCGCCGCTCTGCTTTTCTTTGCATAGAGAACCAAGCAAGGGAGAATACTTTCTGGCGGTACGAAACTGATAGATCAGGCATAACCGGCAGTTTGAGGGTCGCTCTGCACGTGCTTTGTAAATAGGCAGGGCAATGAGTAAATCCATTCCTTCGCGCATATTGATCAAAGTGTGTCTGACCACTGATGCTGCTAACTACAGATATAGGGTTTATGTCATGCAATAAGAGTTTTCATTGGTTCGCGCCGTTTCCAATCAGTACTACCATTCTACCACCCAAAAGAAGGTGGAAACTGCTGTAGCTACTCAACAGAGTTCACATTGCATATTATAGCACTCGACTAGGAGTTCGGCAGTACCAACTAACAGCCCCAACAGCCAATCAAACGCCAGCTGCAATTACGTATTCGCCCTCCAGAAAATCAGTTCTTTATCGCCCCATGGGCGGCAGGAATGCAGGCATTCAGTGAGCTTCCCAGCAGCTCATATGAGTGTTGAGGCACCTCCGAAGCACCACCGCTGTCTCACACCCCTCAGCCACTTGGCACCAGCAGCCCCAGTAGCATGCTTAAGAGCAGCTCCACCCACGTGTCCCCACGTGTTCCCACCTCATATCCCCATGTGTCCCCACGTGTTCCCACCTCATATCCCCATGTGTCCCCACCATATCCCCATGTGTCCCCACGTGTTCCCACCTCATATCCCCATGTGTCCCCACGTGTTCCCACCTCATATCCCCATGTGTCCCCACGTGTTCCTACCTCATATCCCCATGTGTCCCCACGTGTTCCCACCTCATATCCCCATGTGTCCCCACGTGTTCCCACCTCATATCCCCATGTGTCCCCACGTGTTCCCACCTCATATCCCCATGTGTCCCCACGTGTTCCCACCTCATATCCCCATGTGTCCCCACGTGTTCCCACCTCATATCCCCATGTGTCCCCACGTGTTCCCACCTCATATCCCCATGTGTCCCCACGTATTCCCACCTCATATCCCCATGTGCCCCCACGTGTTCCCACCTCATATCCCCATGTGTCCCCACATGTTCCCACCTCATATCCCCATGTGTCCCCACGTGTTCCCACCTCATATCCCCATGTGTCCCCACGTGTTCCCACCTCATATCCCCATGTGTCCCCACGTGTTCCCACCTCATATCCCCATGTGTCCCCACGTGTTCCCACCTCATATCCCCATGTTTTATCATGTGTCTCCATGCATCCCCACGTGTCCCTATGTATCCCCACGTGTCCCCATGTATCCCCACGTGTCCCTATGTATCCCCACGTGTCCCCATGTATCCCCACGTGTCCCTATGTATCCCCACGTGTCTCCACCATTCTCCACATATCCTCACATGTCCCCATTCATCCCTACGCTTCTCCATATATCCCCACGTGTCCCCATGTATCCCCACGTGTCCCCATGTATCCCCACGTGTCCCCATGTATCCCCACGTGTCCCCATGTATCCCCACGTGTCCCCATGTATCCCCACGTCTCCCCATGTATCCCCACGTGTCCCCATGTATCCCCACGTGTCCCCATGTATCCCCACGGGTCCCCACCATTCTCCACATATCCTCACATGTCCCCATTCATCCCCACGTTTCTCCATATGTCCCCACGTGTCCCCATGTATCCCCACGTGTCCCCATGTATCCCCACGTGTCCCCATGTATCCCCACGGGTCCCCACCATTCTCCACATATCCTCACATGTCCCCATTCATCCCCACGTTTCTCCATGTATCCACAGTTGAGCAGATGGTGAGGGAAAGCAGGCAGAGGAGACAGAGCACCATGCTATGAGGCGCGTCAATAGGGGCCTAAAACCTCATCTCAATTCACAGTGTACCTGAGGTGGTAGAGGGGCGCCTTGTAAAATGCTAAGATCTGTTTTTTTTTTTTTTTTTTTTTTAACTCTTGCTAGAACAGGTTCGAACCCATCCCTTTCGCACGCGGTGTACCTGAAGGCCGTCAAAGCGTTCCTTGGGAATACCGCCATTGGTGAGGGAGAGCAGGCAGAGGAGACGCAACATCGCGCTTTGATACGCCTCAAAAGGCACCTCAGGCCTCGTCTCGATTCACACGGTGTACCTGAGGTGGTCGAAGCGTGCCTTGGGAATGCCGCCATTGGTGAGGGAGACAAGGGACAAGAGGCGTAACACTGTGCTCATGGGATGTCCCTGTGCCATGGCGTCCTCTATGTACTCACACGCCCTGCAGTCACCCACGTGGTCGAAGAAAGAAAGAATGATCTCAGATCTCACTGTAAGTTTTAGCAGCACGTTGAATTTCTTGACAAAGTCCTTGAGCTCCGATACTGTCTGAGAGAATGAAGATTAATCATGTGCAACAACGTGTGTTGAGACATAGAAAGGAAAAGAGGAAAGAGGCGAGCATCGCTTCTTGAAAACGTCCTTAAGCTCTGATACCTTGTGAGAGCAACAGGTGCAGCAGGTGGTGAGACACAAAAAAGGAGAGAGGGAAAGAGTGAACGAGGAAAAGAGGAGGACAACGTTTCTTGGCAAAGTCCATCACCTAGGGCACTGTCTGAGTGGAATAAGTGCAAGAGGTCATGGGCGACAGGTGCAAGACTTACAACAATAAAAACAGTGGGAGGAAAAGAGGAGGACAACGAGGTATGAGTGTTTGAGCACGAGAATTGTCATGGCAACGATCTGGAGCAATGAACTATGGCTGGCTAGCACCGTCTGATCTGATCCGATGGGTGCAAAAGGTGCACACGAGTGGTGGAGGCAGCAGCAGCAGCAACAGACCATCATCATGACCTCACCTGCTCTCCCCCGCCAACGCCAGCAGCAGAGGCAGCTGATTGGTCACCCGGAGCAGCGGAGTGCAGTGGCGATGCGTCTCTCTGCAGCCTCTGCCTGAAGTTGGCAAACTCTGACTTCACCTCCACTGCCTTGGCTCGCAGGAGCTGAGGAGGAGAGCAGAGAGAACAGAGGGAACAGAGGGATGTGATGTGATGTGATGTGGTGTGGTGGGTGCGATGCGGTGGGATGGGATGGAATGGGATGTGATGCGATGTGGTGTGGTGTGGTGTGATGTGGTTCTATGCAATGTGATACAATGTGAAGCACCTCACCTTTGCTGCTGATCCAAAGTTGCGGCCTCTAAGGTCCTGAAACAGCTTGTCACTTCGAAGAGCCGGGTGAGGTGAGGAGGGCGAGGAAGGTAATATCATATGAAGCATTTAAGCTTTCACAACTTGCTCAATTACTGTTGAGCTGACTCACAGAAGGAGCAGAGAAGGACGGAAGCACACAAAGAAAAGGCGCAAGGGATCTCCATTCTGTCTGAACATCCTTATTTTCCAGACATGCTGAGGACCATATTTTCCAGACATGCTGAGGACCATATTTTCCAGACATGCTGAGGACCATATTTTCCATGATCCTCTCAGCTGACTTTTTAGTCGACTCAAAAGTCAGCGCAAGGTTCTCCATTCTGTCTGAACCATATTTTCCATGATCCTCTCAGTATGGAGCATCAATACAGGTATATAACATGCTTTTCTTACCCTCATGCCTTCTCGCCATTCTATCCCAAAATCGGACAGCGTTAGAAAAAATGCACATACGCATCTCGTCTATTCTACACTCTCACACTTTCAATCCACAGCCCCTCGCTCCCTCACTCACTTGGAGTTGAGAGGCACTTTGATCTTCCTGGCGTTAGACTTCACCCTCATCACTGCCGAACAACATTTTCGTGTTGTGGCCAACCCACATACTCCTTTATTCTAAACAGTTCTCTACTCTTGGCCCCTCCTGCCCTCTCACTCACTTGGAGTTGAGAGGCACTTTGATCTTCCTGGCGTTAGACTTCACCCCCATGACTGCCGGATCCACCTCCACTGCCCCGTTTGCTACGTGCAGCAGCTGGGTGGGTGAAGGAGAGGGGAAGGAGAGGCAAACATGAGAGAGGGGAAGGAGAGGGGAAGGAGAGGCGAACATGAGAGAGGGGAAGGAGAGGGGAACATTAGAGGGCAGAGGAAAGCATTGCAAAGAAGAAATTCCCCATGACTGCCGGGTCCACCTCCACTGCTCCATTTGCTACGTGCAGCAGCTGCGTTGAAGGGAGGGGGAGGGGGAGAGGAGAGATGAGAGATGAATCGATGGGACAGCAAGAGTGATGATTTAATCACAGAAGAGGCGTGTTAACTTCTCCCCATGACAAGGCGACTTTCCATGACTGTCGGATCCACCTTCACTGCTCCGTTTGCTACGTGCAGGATCTGCGTGGAAAGGGAGAGAGAGGGAAGAACAGAGTTCGAGGGAAGAGAAAGGCTTTGCAGGCAGAAGAGGCACGACGAGGCATCTCCCTCCCCTTTCCATGACTTTTCGGGCGCCTCAAAAGTCATCTCCCTCCCCTTTCCATGACTTTTCAGGCGCCTCAAAAGTCATCTCCCTCCCCTTTCCATGACTTTTCACGCGCCTCAAAAGTCATCTCCCTCCCCTTTCCATGACTTTTCACGCGCCTCAAAAGTCATCTCCCTCCCCTTTCCATGACTACACGATCTGCCTCCACTGCTCCGTTCATTATGTGCAGGAGCTGGGTGGGGGAGAGGGAGGAGAGATGAATTGACGCGTTACAGAGGCGCATTAAAGAGGTAGATGCGCGTTAGGATGCTTCCACGAGATGCCTTAAGCAGTGATTTTCCATGACTGTCAGACCCTCCTCCCCTGCTGTGCTTGCTGTGTGTAGAAGCTGGGTGGAGGAGAGGTGGGGAAGGAAAGAGTACAAGGCTGAGACGGACATAGAGAGCAGAAGAGGCGCAATGAAGGGGCAAGCCCCATGATTGCCAGACCCTCCTTCCCTGCTGTGCTTGCTATGTGCAGAAGCTGGGTGGAGGAGAGGTGGAGAGGAGAGAGACGAGAGGTGGCTGGACGGCAGAGAGAAGGATGCTGACATCATCTATCAATGCATGCTGGCATCATCTATCAATGCATGCTGACATCATCTATCAATGCATGCTGACATCATCTATCAATGCATGTTGACATCATCTATCAAGGTGTGCTGACGTCATCTATCAAGGTGTGCTGACGTCATCTATCAAGGAATGCTGACCTCATCGAACAGCCCTTCGTATGTGAGCTGAGTGCATGCTGGCGTCACCATGTCCACCTGTCGGTCTATCAGCACCATCATGTCCACGCTTGGATGCTCCACCTGCCACCACCACTCCACACCACACCGCACCACCCCACACCGAACCGCTCCCCTCCACACCGCACCGCTCCACCCCACACCGCAGCGCCCCACATCACACCACTCCACCACGCCACAAGACATTCCACACTCCAGTAAATTGTTCAGCCCACTGGGCTGAAGCAAACGAGAAACAAACTCGAGGAAACTCAAGAGCCAGGTTACACGAGTCCCAGAAACTAGAGCAACAAGCTAAGTAGGTTGTCTAGCCTACGATGCCTTTTGAGTCGCCTCAAATAACACCTCCTACCGGTGCCATGTGGGATTTCTGTTCCTTCATGAGTTGACTCAAGGCCTGTGCCACTCGCTGCGCTGCCACGCCCTTGCCCTTCAGCACTGGTGGCACGCCAAACACGGAAGACAGGGCGAGGAAAATGACCTGGAATCAAGAGAATGAAAAGCAGTGATCAATCAAGAGAAGCATAGGAATCAAGCGAGAGGCATTGGGAATGGCATCCCGGCTATGTGCTGTGCACATCAGTTGGCATTTTTAGGCGCCTCAACAAGCGAAGCACAGGAATCAAGCGAGAGGCATTAAGAATGGCATCCTGGCTAAGTGCTGTGCACATCAGTTGGCATCCCAGCCATGAAAGAACATAGGAGTGAGTTACGACAGCCGCAATGGCCTGTCAACGCTGGGATTATCACCATCAACAGCTGAGATTGCCACCTTCAACGGCTGAGATCGTCACCTGGAAATTAACTGGAAATTAGCCAGCACTCGCGCCACTTGCAAAGTGGAGGTGGGGTCTGAGTCCACGTGTACATCCTGGATTGGATTGGTCAGAGGGGAGGGAAGTGGGGTGGGAGGTGAGAGAGATGGAAAGGTGAGAGAAGGTAAAGGAGAGGAGAGGCGGGGTCTGAGTCCAGGTATATGTCCTGGATTGGATTAGTGCAGTTCAGAACAAGAAGGGGCAGGGGGGCGGGGAGGGGTGGGGGGAGAGAGGGGTGGGGAAGAGATTGGAAAGGTAAGGGAACACTAAAAAGGGTAGGGTGGGAGATATGGAATGGTGCGGGAAAGGTAAAGCAGAGGTGGGGTTTTAAGTCCTTATGCACTTATTGATTGAATCGGCCAGGAGGGAGAGGGAAAGAGATGGGAAGGTGAGTGGTAAAGCAGTGGAGTTGGGGGTAGTAGAGTCCACGCTCACGTCCTGGCTTGATATTCCGAGTTTTGAGTCGAATATCAACCCAGGACGTCCTGAGTCGACTCAAAACTCGACTTATCGCAGTGGAGGTGGGGATAGTAGAGTCCACTTTCACGTCTTGGATTGATCAGACGCAGGGGAAGGTGGGCTTGGGAGGGGTGTGGGAGAGATGGAAAGGTGAGAGAAGGGTAACATAGTGGTGTGGTTTGTGTGCACGTGCACGTCCTGAATTGGATTGGTGCAGTTCAGAATCACCTCACCTTATAACGGGTACAGTAATCACCTTATAGAGGGTATGGAGGTCGAGTACAAGGAGGTCATGGTCCACGGGGATCATCTTGAGGGGATACTCGCCCACTGCCATCTTGCTCCAGAATTGGCATATAAAGGGGACAACAATCACTTTATAAAGACTAAAGAATCACC